AATGATGTGTGCTCCACTGAGGTGCAATCAGCCAAAATGTTTGAATAACTGTCGGGCTCGTGAAATCCTGGAAGGCAATTTAAACATCAACAGTAGACAAACGGCCCTATCTTGAGGCCCATAATTAATAACACAAATTTCAAACAGTGGAAGAAATTAGTTTCTAGCTTTCCTAGAATTCCAGCTCAAGCTAATTGCACTACGCAAAACATTGAAGTTGTCAAGGAACAGCCTTAAAGGGGCGATAGCAGCCTAGACAGCAGCACAGTCTCAGCAGTTTCTTTAATTTATGGTTGTAATAAGATGTCTCAAGTTCTTCCTCTTTGTTTCCCTGTGCATTTGATGGAGCTCTATGTATAGTCTGTCCCGAATGTTTCCCCTCTGTGAATGAAAACCTGAAATCAACAGCAAAACTGTCAATGTCACTAGAGCTCAGATTTCACCTTTTGTGAGCTGGCAGTTGAGTTTTGATCAGGCAAGTGCTGCCACACAGGGCGCCACTAACATCAAGGGCATAAGTCAAGCAAAATCTGTTCAGGCAGTTGCAGGTTAAGGGACTGCTGTGCACAGCCCTGTACTCTGAGCTGGCCAAGAGAACAAAGGTCCAAATCAGCTGTTGCATAAAACTTCCTATGAAAGTCAGCAGATGATAGACAAGCAGACTGGGTTAGGCCAAACATCAAAGCCTGTTTCTGATCCACAGAGGGCACAGCTACACATGCAATTAAATTCCAGAGGGTGAAGGGAGTTGTCCTGGCTCAGTGGGCAGTTCCTCCCAGCCATGGGGAAATTGGGCTGGTCCCAAGCCCCAATGGGGCAGGGGGACCTGTCCCAGCTGGGTGGGCAGCTCCCCCCCAGCCATAGGGAGATTAGGATCCATGCAGCTGGGAGGGAGCTGCCCACCCAGCTGAGACAGCTCCCCCTATCCCATCCCATCCCTTCTCCCCCACAGGACCAGCCTGATCTTTGCATGGTTGAGAGGGACCCACTCCCAGAGCTGGGACAGCTACCTCCTGCCCTGCAGAGACTGGTCTGCCCAAGCAGTTATGGCCCTCTGCTGCTTGGGCAGATCGGGAGAAATTTGTTCCCAGTCAGCATCTACACATGCAGTAGCACCATTTTTCTAGTACCTGTCTGTATTGGTACTATCAAATGGCACACTAGACTAATTTAATGTGCAGTAATTGCTCTACACATCTAGACAGTGATGCTTTACTCTGCATTAGCTTAGTCTAATACACAGTAAAGCGTCTTGTGTAGATGTACCCATAAAGTCCAAAGAACAGGTGTGTTCAACAAGAAAATGGAAGTAGAAACTGAAGGGCCAAAATTGGGATGTTCAAAATGAGGTCTAATTAGTGAACATAATAATGAAGGGAGGACCTATTCCTCCTATCACCCACCTGAGGTGATTAACTAAAGGACAGAAAAGGATCAATTGGGCTGGGATGCAACTAAATTGAAGGGAATGAGCTTAGTCATTATGGCCAGTGACCCCTCCAGTTCCTGAGAGCCAAGATTCAACTGTGATGTCATGGGGACTTCATTTCCTGACCTGAAAGGCATCCAGGTTGGAGAGAGGGGACCAGCAGACAGCACCATGTCTATAGCTTTGACTGAATCCTGACCACCACCTGGACAGTGAGATTGTGTTCCTCCTGTTATCCTCACTTTGGTGCTCTTTTCCTTCCTCACCGCCCTACTTCTCTTTCCTCTCTCTCTCTCCTTTTGGCTTCTACTTAACAAGCCTCTGTCTGAGCAACCAGGGATGGCATCTTTTGCAACATTGCTACAAGCCATGCACCAGTGAGGGACCTAAAAGCAATGCCTTAAACAGTCTGGTAGAAGTTTGCCAGCGCTTTGAGTGGCTGATAACTTTAAGACTGCATGCTACCTCTGTTTCTCCAGCAGCGAGACTACAAGGAACAGTCACTACCAGAGCCACAAGCATTTGCTCTCTTTGCTATTCCTGTCTCCCCTTTTGTGCACTTGTCTTCAAGGAAGCAGATCAGCAGCAGGTCTAGATGATTTCAACTAACTGCTCTTTCTCCCTTTCCCCAAGAAGGACACCTACTATCAGTTTTCATACCATCTGAAAGATGGTCAAATGGAGTTTTTCCTTACAAGAACACTTTGTGGCTAAGAAGTTGAGTAAGGGATATTGTCCCAGTAAAAGCCTTGCTGAATACATTCCAGATGCTTTCACTGGGTTTTTCCTTCTTTCTCTGTATCTTTAATACCAGGTTTAAAAGATTTTAATGATGCTTGTTGCCATGGTAATAAGCAGGCCACCGTCTCTGCACTCGAAACACTGAACCATGGTTAACTGTTTAATGTTGTACAGTGATAGGGTCACATTAACACCTTTGACTCAGGGCCCATTTATTGCATCAAAATAAGCACATGAACCCTCCAGTGTTTCATTTCTGTGACAAGGGCTGTTCTCACAATACCAGGAAGGGGAAAAAACATTTTAATGGAGCTTGTTGAACCATTTCACAGTGTGAACTATTTCAATAGACAGCAGTGAGGAAAAATTCCCCTTGTAAACTTTCATGTTGGCTGTTTTCTCCCTGCCAGTTTTCCCCAAGCAGCTCTCCATTTTAATAAAATAAGAAAATGAGATTGCAAAGCCACCACATCTGACAAGTGGCCTGAAGGGCAGACACAGCTCCTGAAACTAATTTTACCTCATGTCTTTAACACTGATCAGATTTCAAGTTGAGAATGGCCCCTTAAGCTGTCTTTCTGTTCTTATAGGAGTACTCCCAGATCCTTTGGTCTGCTTTTGAGAAGATCTTTCCTTTCTACTACTGTAGTGTAGCAGTTGCAACAGGCTCTTCTCTCATTTTAACACAACCCCAGTTTCTCAACCCCACATCCCCCCTTTTAATCAGTTCACAGATTTTTTTCACAAGAGCAACCACTCTCCACAGCAGCAGCACTTGCAAGTACAGCTAGGAAATGGTCCACCAGTTTGAAAAGGTTGAGGCTGGATTCACAGCTGGTATAAACAGAACAGTACCACTTTACCCATGGATCTGACCCTACACCAGCCTCCATTTTTTGCACTTTGTCTTCCAAGAAACAAAGTGTTGTGCTGCTTCCCCCCCCCACACTCTATGATCTGTTTTGATTGAAAAAGGGATGGCAGGAGCAAAGACAAATAGGATTACCTTTTTTAATCTGATTACTCAATACACAAGAAAAGCAAGATCTTGAATGGTTAATAAAAAAGAATTGTAAACACCTCTCTTCTCTCAGAAGACACCTTGCTGGGTTATTTGACCCCAGCAGTCATTCCTGCCCAGAGCAGGGAGGCTGGACCTGATGATCTCACAAGGTCCCTTCCAGCCCTAAACTTCTGGGAGTCTGTGACACTTCCGGTCAGAATCTTTTTCATGCCCTGGTTATCTGGAAAACCAAATCATTTCAATTGCATTGACTGGAGACTTCAATCTTCTTCTTAACCTCAGCGTGCTGTCACACACTTATTCCAGAAGTGCGGGTTGCTTCACTTTCAAGTGTTTTGAATCCCACGGTTACTAGGCTTGTGTAGCTGTGCGAGATAACAATTGCCTCTCTCTCAATGAACGTATAATGTTTATCAGCAAGTCCTTGTTCCTGGTCAGAGAGGAGTTTCCAGATCAAAGACTGTGTTGTATGTGACAGACAGCAGGGCTTGAGAGCTCTCTGCTTCTTCAGAAGGTGGATAATGGCTGGAAGAATCAGCTCGATTGGAAAAGTGACACAACAGGCCACTGTATTCTTGCTCTACAAAAATCAAAGTACTCTGTCAGTTCTTGAACCCTCTTTACCAAGGTGGAAAGCTCCTTTGAAAGGTGGGTTTTTTAACCCTTGGGGCAGCCTGCCCGAGAGCAATTTGCAGGTGTGCAGCATCCTCCAAGAGAACAGGACCTTGTTTGCATGGTGATGGGCGGCCCGGTTTTTGAAACAGCAAAGAGGTAGCTGTGCCTTCCATGGGTCACTTCCATGCTGTCAGCAGCAGGCACAGCTGTGTGCTCTAGTTTTAAAGATTCCTCTGCCGATTTGGAGGTCTCTGGAGAAACTGCATTTGCTTTTTCACATGCAATCCTCACAGATCTCTCTTGTGCCCCTCTGACTTCTGAAAAGCACATTCCCACTGAAAGTGGCTTCTTTGCCCTCAAGTTATTTACCAAGTACAAGGACAAAATATAACTGCTCCTCATTTCCCGACCAGTGACATTTTGGGCATCCTGGACAAAGAGCTGGGAAACATTTTGGTCAGTCAGTGCCCTCATGTGTCTAGTCCAGTAGTTCTCAACCTTTTTAGACTAACGACATCCCACAGAAAATACCAGCTCTTAGTTTCTGCTCTTTTTTTTTTGGTTACAGAAAAATAATAGATCAAATCTTCTGTTGCAAGGAACTTGGGAAAACCACAATGGGTCACAATGTTTTTAAAACTATGAATTCCTATTTGAAATCTTTGGCTGCCTATAGATGTGCTCATCCCTATTCTAATTAGAACATGAATCAGCAGACTTGATTAATCGAGTCTACTTGATTAATATGATTACTTGATTAATTTTTCCCTTCTTTTTTCTCTGTTCTGCCCTCCCACTCAGTGCTGTAGGGAGGAGAGAGCAGTGAGTCTCAACCAGTGCATTAAGAAGTATCTCAATTAAAACTCGATTATCTTGTGAATCATGTTTGCAAACTTAATGGTGTTAACATTACATGGCTCCCTACAGCACCCGTAAGAGGATCTCAAGGCACCCCAGGGTGTTGCAACACGCTGATTGAAAATCACTGGTATAGTCCTTCTCTCTCTTCCCTGCAGCACTGATTAATCACGTCAGCTCCACGTTCTAATTAGAATGCTCTAGCATTGCCTCAGCGTCACATATATTAAGCCCCTCCGTGTTTCAAACTGGCCATGCAGTGCTTTAACTAAAGCTTGTCCAATGAGCTTTGGTTAAAGCATCTCACAGCCATTTTGAAACACAGAGGGGCTTTATACATGTGATGGTGAGCCATTTTAATTAGAGTGGCTCTCCAGAAACTGCTCTAATTAAAGTGCGCCCCCCACCACCTCCAAACACATGTATAGGTAGCCTTTGGGCTTATCATGTGAATCATGTTTGCATACCTAAACGTGCTAGCATTACATGGCTCCCTGCAGCACCCTTAAGAGGATCTCAAAGCACTTGAGGGTGCTGCAACACGCTGATTGAGAATCACTGGTCTGGTTCTTCTCTCTCCTCCCTACAGCACTGAGTGGGAGAGCAGAACAGAGGAAGAAGGGAAAAAGTACAAAGGCAAAAAGTTAGTTGCCTTACTCTTTTCACTCCATAGTAAATCAATGGGTTCTGGGGTGGAGGTCAAGAAGATGATAAAGCCACATCCCAAGTGCTCCTTCTCTGCCTCCTGCTCCCTGCCCCTTCATTCCACTCCAAATCCTTCTTTATGTCTCTTCTCTCACACCCTCCCCCAGGTTGAGGTTGGAGTTTAAATCTCAAAGGACAGATAATTAAAGGAAAGGATTATCCTGACCTCAGATTAAGAAGAGAAGAGGGAGAGGAATAACACCAGGAGAGACAGGGAGAGCTCCTTAGAGTAATGCAGGCACTGCACCCTCCCCCCACCAAAGACAATGTCACTCCCCATCTCCGTCAGGCTCCTGAGCAGATGCGTTGTGCCTGCCTTTCCCTCTGTCCCAGTCACAGAGCAGATTCTGGGGCGGACCCTAAGCTTCTCTGGGGATGATTGAATACATAGACTTGACCACAAGCTCATTTTATTTCAGGCTTGAGAGTTAGCCAAACTATCTAACCACAGGCTCAACAAGGGGGGCTGGGCTGTGGGAATCCTGACCAGTAGGCTCAGTAGAGAGACAGGAAAGCTGCTTTCCCAGTTTGCTACAACAAGAAGATCTGGTACTGTACATGAAGGAAATCTACACAGTAGGGGCTGGAGGTGGGGCAAGTTATGCTCTGTTAGCACACCAATTCTGGTATCACAGGATCTTTGCTTCAAGAGGATGGATACACACATATATGCTCCATCCAGGCAGCAGGGGGCACCCTGTCCTCACCTATACATACCCAGCAGCTGGGGCCAGAACCCTGCTGTGGCCCCCACCTTCCCCCAGCTCCCATCCCTCAGCTTCACAATTGATCTGGAGACCAGGGGAAATTGGGATGCAGCTGAGTATCACATCCATGCCATCCTTTTTTGCATACAAGAGCCTTGGTGTGGGTTCCCCTCTCTTGCCCTGTCCCACAATTATGGAGCAGACTCCCACAAGGCTATGGCTGGCTGCAGCATGTGGCCTCAGGGCAGGCACTGAAGAGGGGAGAGGGGAAAGCCAGGATTCACCAATAGCCCCCTACCACACAGAGCAAACGGAGGGTCGCCAGCCTCATCGTGACTCTTTGAGTCCAGGAGGTCAGCCATCACCGGAAAATAGGCTGCGGGCACCAAGAAGTGTCAGGGAAGAGAAGGCAGTGAAGAGATCGGAACCTGCAGGAGACACAGGAGGAATGTAAAGAGACGGCTCTCGCTGCAGAATAAAGCAGGGCTGTGTGGGAGGAGCACATCTCCCCAGTGCCCCATCCCACACCAGATGCTCTCACTGCACTGCAGTTAGTGGGCAAGGCATCCATCTCCAACTTCCTAAACAGTGCGGAAGGGTGTAAAGATGATCAGAGATAAGTCTCACCCAAAACTCTTTGGTCTACACCCAAACAATGCAGCATCAGACCAGCTCCAGCCAGCATTTATGCTAAAGCCACAAGCAGCACAAGGGGTACTACTTTACCTCCACCTCCTTACTCCTGCCCTGTCCCATCCCCTGCTCTCCAAGCTATGATCTCCCTACCAAAGCAGCGCAAAGAGCTGCAGGTTGTTTTGTTTCACTAAGTGAAGGGGGGAGGGGGGAGACAGCAAATGTTGGTTTTGGATCAACCCAAAACGAACATTTTCCAGTTTTCTCAGTGAAATAAAAAATAAAAGGGGATAGAGGTTTACTTTGGGTGGAATGAAATGCTTCTGCTTTTTGGATGGGGGTGAGGGGAGGCTAAACTGAGGTCAGTGTGGTCTCAAAGCATCATTTTGAAATGGGAAATGGAAAGATTTCTGTTCTGAAAATGTCCACACAAAACATTGGGACCTTTAACCACCTTTTCCCAGCCAAAGAGATTTGCAAATTTGTGCAGAGTTCAGCAAATGCTTTCAGGCAACCCCAAACTACATGTTGAGAGCAAACAAACTATTCGCGCCCAAAATATTGCTTGGCTCTGCTGATGCCTCTTGATCCTGCCCTGCACTTTTCCTGGCCAGTTTTCACAGAGGCGGGAGTGTGCACAGAGAGGCAAACACACAGGAACGCACCTGGAGGGGTCTTCCTCCTGGGAGAAGGGGCCACTCAGCTCAATAACATTGAGCTTGTTCTCAAAGACACCGTAGCTGAGGGTGACCTGCAGAGACAGAGCAGGGGAAAGGGAAGGGAAGGAAAGGGTTAGGGAGCAAGTAGGCAGCACTGGTGACACAGCTTTCAGTGGGCAGCAGACACTCCCATCAGTTCTGGCCCATGTCCCCCGCCACATCCCTCCCATATTCCTTCCATATCTAATGCCCAAGGCAGCCTGCTGGCTCTGGACTGCTCCTACCCTCCATTTCCTCCCCTGCCTTCCCTATCCTGCCTTCCCATCCCTCCCCCGAGTCAGGGCTGTGTGACATGGGCATAGCCCCACTGGTGGACAAAAGGCCTTTCTTTTGGCTGTGCTGCTGCTTGAAGAGAGAGCACCGCCACCATGAGCTTTGACTGGCAGCAGTTTTATTGGTTAGTTAATTGCCTTTTCATCCTCCACCCATTACGGCAGGGAGGCATCTGGGGAAGAATTTGTCAGAAAAACCTCATCAAAATAATGTGCAATTGATTCAATCAATGTCACAGTTACCACCAGGGTGATGCGAATCAAAACCAGCTGGCTTCCCTTCCCCCAACCCCCTGCTTGCCTCCTCCACTTCTCCTTTACTGTGCTACATCTCACGCCCCCCCTGGGTGCCCATTCACCTGCTCCCGGAGCTGGGGCCTGGAGATCAGTTGCAGGTTCTCCAGGTGGGAGTGAAAGAGTGCATTGGGGAGCAGATGCCCACCCAACTTGCACTCCACAATGTAGCCCACAGTGCAGTCATCAGGCAGGCGGATGAGCTCTGAGGTGCTCATGAAGTTATGCCCACTGGAAGGGAACCAGTTGCAGAGATCAGTGAGACATCCAAGGGGGACCCCCACCATGGAGCTGGGCAAGAGGGCAGGACATCCCAGGCTAGAATCCCCAGTGGAGTAACTCAGGGAGTCAGTCAGCCCTGGCTGCAAGGAGGTCGGTGACTGCCCAGCTCTGCCCATCTACAGCACCAGCCCAACTCTGCATGTGCACAGTATTGAGTACAACAGGGCCCAGGGACCCACCTGGGGCTTCTAAGTACTGATACAATACATAGCAGTAAGTGCACTTATGTATCTGCCCCTGTCCCTTGTAATGGGGTAGGCACACGTGTACTGTGTCACGACTCATGTGTACACACCACCACATGTACGCTTAGGATATGTCTACATCGCAGCAGCACAGAACCCAGCCTCACCACTGAGGAATTAAGCTCTGGCAACCAGCCCCCATTCCACCCAGACAACCCTGGAAGCTGCTGCCCATCAAAAAAACCAGCTCCTGAGCACAGTGATGGGGTCACTTCCAGGACTGACATGTGGGGAGTGGCTAGGCCTCAGCTGCAAAACTGAGCTCCCTGCCCTCAGGTAAGTCATATCCATGCCCATGTTCCACCTGGGAACTCACATCAACACAGCTCCACCCCTCACCTGGCCCAAGGTGCCATCTTGGTTGCCAGCTTGTGGCTGATGCAGAATCCAGCCCCTCCCGTAGCAAACCAGAAACATATGGATTTCTGCAGAGAAAGGCAAGCAAGGTTTCAAATGGGGCCACCACCCCGCTACCTGTGAGTCTGTATCAAAACAGTGGCCATTAAATACACAGACCCAGGCTACAACCCACTTCCTCCTGAGCTACAAGGCTGCAGCGTGGGATTTACCGTCTGGTTGTTGGGTAGCGTTTCAGAAGCCTGGATGGGCCGGTTCAGGCTGGGCTTCCCAATGTAAACATCCCATGCTGGAGAGTAAGAGGATAGGAGCGTCAACAGGGCATGTGGGTTGAGGTAATTATCATCATCCAGGTGGCAAAACCAGCTGACCATGAAAAGGAAGGGAGACAAGAGGTTAAGTCAGGATGATGTTGGAGTCTGAATCTCAAGGGCCTTCTACACAGAGGTGGGGAGCTCCCGCACATGGATCAACTTTAGTAGGAGCTGTGGCTGCTCAGCTCTTCCATGAATTAGTACTTCATCCTTTCCCAAAGAACCCCCCACAGAGCCTCCCACTCTGAGCACTGGACAAGCAGCCCTCCTGAACTCACCTCAGGCCACTGGCCAAGAATGCATCAAACTCTGCAGCCATCTTGCAGGATAGTGCTGGGTGGCTATGCTCTGCAGAGCAGTTGGTGAATACTACATGGTCACCTGGCGAGGGGAAAGGAGACAAAGCTTGAGATAATGCATGCCTGTCCCACCCAGATCACCCCCTGCCTGGGCCCTTCTGTAAAAGAAACCCCTCAGAGGAGCCAGCACAGAAACTGGCCTCTGAATTAATTCAGTGCTGCCCTTCTTGCATTTATACACTGCTCCCCCTGGTAAGGACAGCAACCCTGCTCCCACCCACTTATGCACTCTCAGTCTCTGGGGCTCTGTGCTCTGCCTTCCTATTAACTCAGTTCTTTGCTTCGTGACCCACACGCTGCTTGCCAAACAGGACACCCACCCACTCCACTACTATCCTGAGAATCTGGAAAGGGAAACTATTTGCCATGTTTTTTTCCTTTGAGTCTAGGATTTCTTCCCATAAGCAGATCACCAGGAGGAAGGGGACACTGATGGTTACTATTCATTTGCTTGGCAGCAACAGTCTACCTAGGCCTGGGCTTATCCCCATCAGTGTAAGACCTCATCCCTCACAAACACTAATGACTTTAGCTCAATGTCCCTACAGTACAAGGAAATGCTATCCCCTCCCCACAGGGAGCTGAGGCATAGAACAGTTAAGTAACTTGCCAAAGGTCACACTGGATGTCTGTGGCAGAGCCTGGAATTGAACCCAGTTTTCTGAATGCCCATCCAGTGCTTTAGCTACAAGGTCAAGCTTTCCACCAGTGGCAAGGATGGAAGAAATAGGGACCCAGCCCCTCTGTCACTATATGACTGTTCCTTACAACCACCTGGACCCTCAGATTCTCCTTGCAGGTGTTTAGGGAAGACTCTCTCCCACCTTTCAAATGGGAAACCCCATTCCCACTCTCCCCACCCCAAGATCCAGAGAAACACCCTGTCATATAGAGTGGGAGGGGAAGAGCCCACAACTCAGAGCCTGATCCAGAGCCAGTCAGAGGTAGTGGGGTCCAGGATGTGGAAAAGGTTGATTACCCATTCTCTTCTGCAGGGCTTCATCCTCTTCATCAGTAAAGACATATGTCTAAGGAAATAAGAGAGAGTGGAGGAGAATTTACTCCAAGGCCTGGAGCTCAGTCTATTCCTGGCCTCCTAATCCATTGCTGAAAGCCAAGCTAGCCATGTGGCTTCGTCTCACTCACACACACACACACACACACACACACACAGTGGAAGGGGAGTCAAGCATTTGTTAATGAGCCTCGCTTGTGCTTTAAAATTCTGCTGCTTCCTCCTCCTGGGCTCCGTGAAGCACCTGGGACCCCCGTGCATGGGAAGCTGTTGCCCTGCATTGATCAGTCTTTCTCCCCCTCGTGCTCCCAACTCCTCTTTCTCTTTCAGAGCTGGTTTGCAGATAATTAATCCTCTCCCTGAGCCTAGAGCTCTGCTCATTACAAGCCCACAGCTCACTCCTCCTCCATGCCCCTGAGAGGGTGCCCACTCCATCCACCCCTTTGAATGCCCAGTCTGGGCAGAGGGAGTGACCAGCCTCAGTCAGGAGAGCAGTCTCCTTTCTGTCAGAGGACTGAGGGAAGACTGTTCCCCTCCACGCTCCTCTGTCAGCTAGCTCACCCCACAACCAGCTCTTCATTCAGCCAAGGGAGACTCCCAGATCAATGAGGGACTCTGGAGTCCTAGGCTCAGACTCTCAGGTGGTGCAAGTCTGTACAAGTGCTCTTAAGTGAGGCAACCTCCAGGACCCTCTTTTGCTTCTGGGAGTTACCGAACATTTGCTCACTGCAGCCAAGGGCCTCACTCGCGCCTCTGTACCTCAGAAATGTGCAGTTTTATCTGAGCTTCCCCATACCCCCACCCCAGTCCCGCCACCTGGTGAAAGGAGAATTTGCACAGCTCCAGAGTCCCCAGCCAGCTTAGCTTCAGCGTTTGTAAGAGAAAACAGAAGCTTTGTGGTCAAACAAAACTTGAGTTAAGGGAGGAACATCTGTTTGTGTGTTAAGCTTCTATAGACCCCTGCTGCCTCCCAGCCCCTTCCTCCGCCCTGGCCCCCACCTAACTCCCTGTGCTGCCATTGTGTGACATCTCCCCCCGGCCCACAAGCAGAGCAGGGATTGCAGCCAGCTGAGAAAAACTTCCCTCAAGCAGAAAATGCGCTTTCAGGGAATCAAAGGGGCTGAAAAAGAGACACAAGTCTTAAACAATCTCCCCACCAGCTGCCCACAGGCTGGTTAAACACAGCACCCGGTTAAGTCTTAGGGGGAGGAGAAGGGAAAGACCCCAGCACATCCCATGCTCGATCTAGAAAGCTGTCAAGGCCCTCCCCACACCCACCTCATCCCCCTCAGGGAGGAAAAGGAAAATGAAAGGGCCATATCCACCAACAGGAAAAACCAGGATTGCAGTCATTAGCAAGGGCAGCTCTGGGGTAAGGGGTTTCTAGAGACCACCTGATTCTGATGGGTTCTGTGAAGGGCAGGTAGCAAGAAGCAGCTTGAGCAGACCTGCTCTGGAGGTTTCAACTGAACCTTTTCTTCACTAAAAAAAACTCCCCACTTTGTCAAAACCAACTCCTCCCAGGGGCAGGACCGCAACTTGCAAGCACTTTGTCAAAAACTAAATTTCTGCATGTTTCAAAGCTAAAATGCTTCGGATTGTCAGCATGAAACAGCTCCTCAGTTAGACATAGGAAAAAGATCGCTTTTAATAGTTCTGACAGAAACACCATATTTTTACTGACGCAAACCGTGTTTTGTCTTCCAGATTTTCATTTTTGTGAAATTTAAGATTCCAGCTTCTCAAATGTTGAGGGGGGGAAAGCTGAGATAGTTGGCACGTTTAAGCAGGACAGGAAACATTTCTCACCCAAGCCTGTACCCAAGAGAGCACCAGGCTCTGAAACAAGAAGACGTGATCAGAAGCGAAGAGAGAAAGCAGGGGACTGGGAACACTGGAGGAGTGAAGAGATGCCAGGACAGGAAAGGGGGATCCTTCCCCCAAAAGAGGCCATGAGAAAAACAGCCCTGAGGCGCATATTCAACACTGGCCAGGATGTATTATTGCTAGGGCAGTAGTAGATAGTCCACACATCCATCTCCCTCCCAACTCTTAAACTCTCTGCACAAAAATATCCCATTCTGCACACCCTTGTAGAAACACATTATGCCCCCCCTCCTATTCATACAGGCCCCTAATTAGCAAGAAAACTGTTATATGCTCTCCCCTAACTTTCCTTTCCACTTCTGTGCTGAAGATGGCTGCTCAGCACAGCCAGCTTGCCAGCTGACAGTTTCTTTTCTTCTCTGTCCCCAACACTTGGGAGCATGGAGCCACTGGAGTAAAAACTATCCTCTTCATCAGAGCAACTTCCCTCTGTCCCCACCCAGAGCCCAGGCAGGAGGAAGAGGGAAAGGACCCTGCTAGAAAGCTGCGTGAGTCACCGGTTGCAGCGTGGAGGTTCGTCTCTCAATGAGACAGCTTCTGTCACCCATACTAATGGTGCCTAGATCTGCTGGGTGGCAATGGTGCCCTGTATAAACAGGGCCTCAAACTGCAGCATCTCCCATGGCCACTGTCCCTGCAGAGAACAACACAGACCATTTCACCTGAGACAAACGTGGTGTCCCATCTACCGGCTGAGGCAGAGGAGTGGGCAGGAGTAGCCCCCTCCCCTCCTTTGATTCCTTAGCCTACTAGGTTCTCCCCTATGCCCACTGCTGCACCATCCCAACACCTATTGACTTCTCAAGGGTTTTAGGGCCCATTTCGGCAAACCACAAGTACAGAAGTAGTGGAGCTGGAATTCAGCCACTACTCCCCCTTCCCCTCCTGCAACAGGCAGTTACAGGCTCTGGGGGGAGGATTTGTCATAAAGTCTTGTTCTCACATCCACTGTCCAATACCTGGAGCTTGTAGAAATTGTTTTATTACTTCAGTTAACGTGATGTCAGGTCAGGGACATGGATGATGGGGTCTGGAGTGTGTCCTTAGGATCTGAAAAGGAAATGGTAGGGTGTGTAGGAAGAGAGACTTGGGGCACAGATACTAAGGAAACTCTAGAGCCCTCTTTATTTCCAACAGCCTTGTATGACCAGCCAGCTACCACTGGAGTATATATGCTGCAGTAATGCATCAGAGCAAGAGCTTCTGGCCTGCACAGCCCCTATTAGAGGAATGTCCTGACAGGCACCACTGAAGGAACAGGGCATAAGCTGAAAAGATCAGGGCCAAACTTAGCTTCCATCTCTAAAGGATTGCATTTCACCCTTGTTTACAGTCTAGGAGAAACACCACCCTGAAAGTGTAAACCCATTGCAGGGGCTGAAAGCAAACCTGGAGAAGGAAACAGTTTCTCTGACCTGTGAAGAAGACAGCTGAGATTTTGGACCTCTCATATTTTCACAAGCTGAAAGCCTGGGAAAAATAATGTTCGTTTAGGTCAAATTAAATGTTTCAATCCAATCATGTTTCTTTTTCACTACAATTCACTGAGATTTCTCAATTCAATCTTACTTCAAACCAGACAGTTTTGCTTTGAAAATGTTGCACAAAGCAGCCTGACAATTTCAAAAAAAAAAAAAAAAAAAGTTTTTCCAAGATACTTTCAAGTCAAAACATTCATCCAAACCGACCTTCTCATGAGAAAAAGTGCCAGTTTCAGCAAATCAGCATTTTCTAAAGAAAAGACTTTTTTTTCCCCCCAAAAGTTCCCAGCCAGCTGTAGCTGAAAGTTTGTCAGAGGTAATTCCCCAAGAGAGGCAGCATGATCCTACAGAGAACTGGAATGCAACAGCCCTGGACTCTGCCACTGACCCAGTAAGTGACCTTGGTCAAGTCACTTCAACCTCCCCTGTGCTTCCATTTCCCTTCCCACCTTTTTTCTGTTCTGTCTATTTAGGCAGGAAGCTCTTTATGATAATCTTTCGCAACGTGTCTGCACCGAGCCCGTGACAGTGTCCAGACCTCAGCTGGGGTCTCTAAGCAGTACTGGATTACAAAAGCTAAATCACAACAATAACAGATTACCAGGCCTCCCCCTACTGTGATGCAGGGTTGGCCCCTGGGGGTCCATGAAACCAGGTGTGAGACTACCAGACTTCTACTTGGAGGCACTGCCACCTAAATTGGCCTTGGCAACACAGACAGCTCCCTCCCAGCCTGCTGCCTGCCTAGGAGAAGGCTCTGCTGTACATAACCTCCCGTGGCAAGCTGGGGTATCTCAGTTTGCATGACAAGCAGCTTGGTTCAATTAACTGAGCTCCAAACAAAGTGCACATGATCCCTGCAAGTCAGTCCTGGTGCCAGTACTTATTTCCTCAATGCCATTAGCTGTGCCATTTAACCTTCCGCCATTGTTTCCCCCTGGGGCTAATGGTACTTACCTACTGCACTAGGATGGGTGCAGTGGGGATTAACTACTGAATGCTGCAGAGTGCTATAGACAGGCTAAAATTCTCCACAGTCACATAAACCACTGTACAACAGGGCCTATGTCCCTCAACAGGACAATTACCTGTCCTTTACAATCATATTTACATGTTGATAATTTTCTCTTCTTAGCACAAAAAAAATTCTTCTTGGTAGAAAAATAACTTCCACCTCCCTCCCCCCACAAAAAAAGAAACAACCCAAAATATTGGGGGGGTGAAACTTTTCCGTTTACTTCAATAAAAATTGGGGGAAAAAATTTCAATTTTCTTTTCTCAACCCGTCTTACTGGCAAAACAGAGAAAGAGAAAAAGGGAATAACAAGGGGCAAAAACCTGAAGGTTTTCAGCCATTTATCAAGAAATAGATTCATGGATGTTAGGGGTTGGAAGGGACCTCAAGAGAACATCAGGGCTCTTTTTACAATTTTTTTAAAATACCCTCCCATTTTTCCAGCCAGCTTGATTTGAGAGTCAACAACTAAGCACAGATCTCAGTACAAACAGCAGAGGTTCAACTTTTGTAGCACAACTAATAGGTCTGGACAAATATTTCCTGTATTTTTTTTTAATTAAATTTGTATCTGAGACCAAATTAGCCAAAACTACATCCATATTCAAGAGTGGCCCTGCTACTGGCAAACATCCTCCACCCGCACCTGGGGCTTCAGATGTTTCCAAAACCTTTGGCAGGCATCCTACGTGCAGGCCCAAGCCCAGAGGCTAGGAGTTCAAATGCCCCCAAGTTTTGCTTGCCCTTAGCCATAAAGCCCTTGGAGCAAGCAAGGGAGGAGACTCCCATTTCCATAAACTGAGCTTAAAGCCACTGCACCTTGGCAGGTACCGAACCACGCCAGAAGCGCAGTTCTCCTGTGATGCGGTTCCTGTATATATACACCGAGGATAGGATACATTTGAGGAGGTTCAAGCAACCATCTTATGGCTCCACTTCCTAACCCTGAGTGTGGTCAAGGTGTTAGTTATGTGTGGGTGGCTTTGCAAGCCCACTCCAAAAGTCTAAAGCAAGCGATAATAACAGTAACCTCACACCAGAGCACAGCCCCCTTCCCAGTACACATATGCAGGGACTTATGGTATGCCCAAAGGCATGTTAAAAAGTAGGAACCAGAGAGCTCAGGCCTTGGAGAAGTGCATTGAGAAGGGGAAATGTGGTATTTTAAACACCAACAGAGACAGAGGAAGCATGTTCAAAATAGGACAGGTTTCCTCTAGCGACCGCAACAGACTAGGCAGCGGAAAGCACCAGACAGTTACAGCTCAGCTTGAGGAAGGGAAAAACCGCCTTTACCCAGAATGCCGTACTCTGTCTCTATTACTCACCCCCCTCCAATCTCCCCCACCATCTTCCTCTCTTAGGGTTAGTGCTGCATTTGGTCAAGTATGTAGGCAGACCCCTATACCGAGACCCACTCTTTTCTACTAAGACCGAGGCCTTAGGTTGCAACTACGTTTGCAGCTTGGTAGGGAAAACAGGTAACCAAGAGGTGGGATGGGAGCAGCACCTCCATCATGACCATGAGATTGGCAATGGGGTAGGCTCATTTAGGAGTCAAGCTGCCACCACAGCATCTACACAGTACCCAGACAGTCTGCCAAAGTGCGCTCCGGTGCCCACAGTCTACAACCAGCCCCACGGGGACTTTTCCACATCCAGAGGGAGATCCCTGCCCTGGTCTGGACCACTGATGAGCAACAGGTCACCTGTGACCAAGCTGGCTCATTCAAGAGGAAGCAAAGACTCTCAGGGTAGGGCGAGTCAATACTCAAAGCTTTCTTGAAGCAGCCATGCATCAAGAAAGCAAACCACAAACTGACTGGTGGGAGGATTGTCAGAGTGCATGCGAGTAAATTTGGTGCTCAAGAAACTGAGGGGGGCAACTGCACTGAGACAAGCATGGGGTAGGCAGGCAGCTGGCCAGCACCCCACACCCTCTTCAGACACTGCCAGCCCTCAGACACTACCAGGACTCTCTTATACACACCCCTTGTGTAACACCACACCGCAGACCCTGTCTGACTCAAGAGTGGTTTTTATTATGTGCACAAATGTCACAGGGCTGGAGGGAGCTGCGAGTCTGAAACCCAAAAAACTCGCTTCACGTGTGAGATGGGGGAGGCATCTGGAGGCAAAAAAATCCCCCAACTGATTCACCGTTTTGTTTCGTGACACATGTCCTCTTTGATCCCGGCCATGAAAGGGAGGCTAGGTGTCCACTAGGATGCTGTATGGCAT